CACTGTCTCGTCCAAAATATGGTCACGTCCGGGTACTTCCTGGTTGCAAAAAATCAACATGGCGGCACCCTATCGGACAAACTCAAGGCTTCAAAACGGCAGTCCACAAATCAACGGGTGACGTCACGATGACTACATTCACTTCTTTTATACAGTCTATGCCGCCGATCGATCGCTGATTTACCCCAGATAACAGCCTGATGGCTTAAAATCGTATAGGATGAACTAGGCTTAAGAGAGCGCTACAGAGAGACAGGAAAGACAGCTGATTCTCCTTGCTGATTCACCACAGCGGGACTGCCCGAGATACACCAGGAGCACACAATCCCTCCATCAGTACTCAGACTGTCTGCAGTAAGCTGAGAGAGACTGGACTGGTGGTTTGCCACAGCATCATTGGACTGAGTTTGTTGTCATTGCAGGCAATCTCAATGCTGTGAATTACAGGGATGACATCCTCTTTCCTCATGTGGTACCCTTGAGAGCTAGACCCATTCCCCCCAGAAATGTCCGGGAACTTGCGTGTGCCTTGGTGGAAGAGAAGGATAACATCTCACAGCAAGAACTAGCAAATCTGGTGCAGTTGATGAAGACAAGATGCACTGCAGTACTTTATGCAGTACTGGTTGCCACACTAGATACTGACTGTTACTATTGATTTTGACCTCCCTTTGTTCAGGATAAATTTTTCAATTTCTGTTAGTCACATGTCTGTGAAACTTAATCCAGTTTATGTCTTAGTTGTTGAATATTTTTATGTTCATACAAATATTTTCACATTATGAGTTTGTTGAAAATAAAAGCAGTTGAAAGTGAGAGGACCTTTCTTTTTTGCTGAGTTTAGAAATCATTGGCCAGGAAGTAAAAAAGATGCTGTAACAGAAAATGGATTGGTTTTGTTCAGTGTTCGGCAAATGGAAATCAGATTTTGACTGCTGTGTCCACACTGATGGTGATCAAATGTGTAGCAGTATATGGTATTTCTATTGTATATAATGTAAATGTAAATGTTGTATGAAACAAAGAAGTGCATCCACCAAAGCTAGTGATGATTAAATATAGGGCTGCACAACGATCTAATCACAATTGCAATCACGATGTAATTCTCTGCTATTATATAACCGCAAAAGAGTGCAATTTAATTAAATTTGTATCTGTATTTGTGACACTCATTTCTATGAGGGGACCCTAGGGACATTATTCAGATGTACTTTTCCTCTCACATACACATATGAAACCAAACTCACGCGGCCATCTGCCTCGAGGGTGAAGGAGAGAGAGGGAGAGAGAGAGAGAGAGAGAGAGGGCAGGAGAGGAACAGAGAGAAAAAGAGAGGGATGGAAGGAGAGAGAGAGGGGAGGGAGGCAGCCTACACAATATACACACAATATACAGAGAGTAAAGGTGATGTTGCTATAGACTAAATGAAAAATGGTACAGATATTTATAGTAGTGTTAATGGTAACAGTTGTAATGTTAATGATTATAATAACAATAATAACAATAGGACTAGTAACAATAGTCGTTGCAGCAGAGGGTGTCGAGCAGGAACACGGGGGCAGCAGGTGACCCGCAGCCACAGATCCAGACTCCACAGCTCCAGAGCCAGAAACACCTGCAGGAAGTGATAGGAGGAGAGAGGAGAGGGACGAGAAAGCACAAGACTACCAGAAAGGGGAGAAGTTGTGTTAGTAACATGCAATAATGGGATGAGGTTGCATACAGAGGGAGAGAAAGTAGAGGAGCTCAGTGCATCATAGGAAATCCCCCGGCAGTCTAGGCCTATAGCAGCATAACTAAGGGAAGGTTCAGGACTCACCTGAGCCAGCCCTAACTATAAGCTTTATCAAAGAGGAAAGTCTTAAGCCTACTCTTAAATGTGGAGATGGTGTCTGCCTCCTGAACCCAAACTGGAACCTGGTTCCACAGGAGAGGAGCTTGATAGCTGAACGCTTGGGCTCCTAGTCTACTTTTGGAGACTCTAGGAACCACAAGTAACCCTGCATTCTGGGAGCGCAGTGCTCTGGTGGGGTAGTAAGGTACTATGAGCTCTTTAAGATAAGATGGTGCCTGACCATGAAGAGCTTTGTAGGTAAGAAGAATGATTTTAAATTCTATTCTGGATTTTACTGGAAGCCAATGCAAAGAAGCTAAAACAGGAGAAATGTGATCTCTTTTCCTGGTTCCTGTCAGAACACGTGCAGCAGCATTCTGGATCAGCTGAAGAGTGTTAATGGACTTTTTCGAGCAGCCTGATAATAAGGAATTGCAGTAATCCAGCCTAGAAGTAACAAATGCATGGAGTAGTTTTTCTGCATAATTTTTAGACAGGATGTTCCTGATTTTTGCAATATTACGTAGGTGAAAAAAGGCGGTCCTTGAAATTTGCTTAATGTGAGACTTAAACGACATGTCCTGATCAAAGATAACTCCAAGATTCCTCACAGTGGTGCTGGAGGCCAGGGCGATGCCATCAAGGGAAACTATATCTTTAGATAATGCGTCACGGAGGTGCTTAGGCCCCAGAACAATAACTTCAGTTTTATCTGAGTTTAACATTAGAAAATTACAGGTCATCCAGGTTTTAACATCCTGAAGGCACATTTGAAGTTTAGCTAACTGATGAGTTTCATCTGGTTTGATCGATAGATATAACTGAGTATCATCTGCATAACAATGAAAGCTTATGGAATATTTCCTGATAATATTGCCTAAGGGAAGCATATATAAAGTGAAGAGGATTGGTCCGAGGACAGATCCTTGAGGAACTCCATGACTAACTAACTAATAACTAAATGTCTAACAATCTATTTGAAGCAAATAAATTAAACCTGATTTCAGATTTTCACATAACTTTAGTTATGAGTAACTTGATTATAAAAATTTCAAAAAGTCAATGTCACGCTAATGTTAAGTTAAATATAATACATGAGCTATTTTGCTTGCATAATGGTAGCCATAGTTAGAAAAGGCCTTTTCTACTTCTTTTTCGACTCCCTGCTAGGAAGAGCAGCACTGGATCTCCTCATCGTCCACTGTGGTTTTAAATATTGTCCACATTTGTGTTTTATGTCCATTAAATGTCCACTATTGTGTCGGAGGTAGTGATGGCGCAATGGATAAGACTCATGCCTTTGGTGTGAGAGACCCGTGTTCAACTACCCACTGTGACACGTCCACCAATGTGTCCCTGATTGAATCCCTAATTGCTCCATAGGTGTACGACTTCTGACACGTATAGCAATTGTAAGTTGCTTTCAGCTCCTATGGCAACTCACAATACAGGGTGACAGTTATTGACAAAAGCACACACACTAAGCAGATTAGCTTGGGCTGTCGAAGGTATTAAATGAGAAAGATGGTGTACATCCCAGCTATGTGTTTTTCCCCCTGGCACACCCTGCTGAACAGACACACATTTTTTAGGATGAAACTGCTTTATTTGTTTTTTATGTTTTAATGACCGGGTCTGTTTGTTTTGGAGATAAGATGACATACCAGCTAGGTTACAACGATTTCAACAAAGTGAAAATTATAACATGTGGATTATTTAATCTATCGTTTTAGTATTGTTGTTTCATTAACAAGGTTTTGCAAAGCAAGCAATGCCTGGCTTATTTGTCAAAAAATGCTTTTATTCTTCTGTGCATTATTGAGGGGGATAAAAATTCTGGCAGACTGCACAGGCTGGTAGGAACAGTACTGTAATCACTTGCATTATTTAATAATTATGATAAATTTGCCCTTTAAGGAGGGGGGATTCAGAACATTTTACAACAATATCTAAAAGCTATTACTTGCAATGGAAACGTGGATTACAAGGAAAAAATATTGTCTACAATGCTGCATTCAGTTCAATGTACATTTCGAGTCAAGTAGGCAAGATGTAATTGAGGTGGGCAAAGTGTTAAAAATGGTTACAGCGTGTCTGGATCTGGCCTCCAAACAGTAACATGGATGACCAAGTGTTTAACTCCATCTTAATTATAACATCGTCAGACAAAATTCGATAACACGTATCGTTAGCCTGCAGAAGAATAAAACCTTTTATTTTGACACATGAGCCAGGTGTTGCTTGCTAAAACTTGTTAATAACAATACTAAAATGATAGATTAAACAATCCACGTTATATTTTTCCTTTACTTTGGTGAAATTGCTGGTCAACCTTCATAGCTGTAGACATGCATGCTCCCGTGACTGGGGGAACACTTCCTATCAGGGCTAACATTAACTACCTTTGCACAAATATGGGCAACAAAAGCTAACGTTAGCTAGCTTCTAACTTAAACTAACTTACGCTAGGTAGTTGATGAGAACAGTATGGCACAGTGGCACTTGGCTGTAATAACATTAGGCTTGATTTAATGTCACACAATGAACAAAAATGTCAGTCGAGTGGTTTCTTAACTTACCTATCAACCCTACTTGATACAAGTGTGCGTCTCTCCTTCTCCAGCTCTGCCAGGAGTCTGCTCAGTCCCTATGGCGCCTCCCAGCGCTGGTATGCTGGCATTTGATAACTAGCAGTTGGCCTACCCAAAGTAAACCCATCTGATTAGTTTGAAGTGGAGCATATACTTTGGAAGAAATCATAATACGCACCAATAGTTGTCAGAAACAATAAACATAATGACGTCGTATAATCAACAGTTGTTCGCTTGTATTATGAGAAGCGTGCTCTTATTTAAACAACTTCCGTTTCAACTGTAACGCCTTCTGTTTCAACTGAAATCCTCTCGTATAACGTACTGAAATTTTATACAACATACATTTCACTTGCATGTGTGTGAGCTTTTCAGTTGTATATGTAAAAGCATATCACTTGTATGTGTGTAAGATATTCAGTTGTGTGTGAATGAGTTTGGTTTCATATGTGTATGCGAGAGGGAAAGTACATGTATATGCATGGCAATTCTGAATAAACTAGTGTCATAAGAAGGCTGAGTGCATTGTCAGAGAACAGAGGCTTGGACCCAAATGCAGACAATAGATGAGGAGGTTGCATTTCAATATAAAGATTTATTAAACAAACTAAACAGGCTTATGCTGGGAGCACAGCGGCAAATGTCCAAACCAAAGGATACTCCAACCCGAAACATAATCCACAAGGAAAAACCAAAAACAAGATACAAAGTTCAATCCAGGGGGTAAGTCCAAAGGTAGGGAATCCTAAAGGGAACAACAATAAAACAATAACTCACATACAATGAGGACGTAACAAAGACTGAACAGAACAAGCAAACATTTAAACACCAAGTAACAAGCAGGGCAGGAACAAGACCAGGTGGAGGACATGAAGTAATTAGACAGAATACAAGCACAGGCAAGCAGATGAAATCAATTGAGGACCAGACCAGACCAAAATGCAGACATACAAACTGAACACTCAATAGATGAAAACTAAACAGAACATGAAACAAGCAGACTGAACACTGAACACATGGCACTGGCAACTAACACAATAGAAGAAACAAACAGGAGCTGGAATACAGAACAGAATAAAGAACTAATCATACAAATAGACTACAAATGTAACAGAAAAAAGACAGAAACTAGGATCAAACAGAACACTGAACAGACAAGGCCAAAATAACAAAACGCACAGAACCAGGAATAAACACAAAGACACAGAACTAAAATGCAGGACTAAAACTAAGATACGAGACAAAACAGATACTAAGTAAACTAAACATGTGAATGAACAAAAAAATAAACTAGGCTAAAAAACTTTAATGAATAAAAACAACCCACAGAAATGAAACAGCTGTAACTGGATTTAAAAAACTACTGGTAAAATAGTATGCTGTTATATGAAATTATAATGGCTAGAATAATTAATATAACATTATACTGACAATATACTATTACTGAACATTATACTTTTTATTTCGTGATATACTATTATACTAATACACTCATTTATACTAGTTCCTCCTCCAGGTTGTGGATTGAGAGCCTCTGCCGTGGATAGATGTAGATTTTTTTTTAGATATCATTGTGCCACTGTCCTTCTAGCCGCTTCCTCCTGATAGCAACACGCTCCTTGTTCTGTTTCACATCTGTTTAACGGAAGTTATTGTTAAAAATATTGTTCAGTAATCTTGTTTGCGTAAAGTGTGCCATGGGTTGTGTTGGTGCTGCTGGTGTATCGTGTATCTGTCCCTGGTTCAAAAACTCTCACACGCCACAAACTGCAATGCACCATTCACAGTAGACTTTTCTGTGAGTGTTTTCAAAAGCTGTTAACAATGTAGCAAAGTCGGTATTTTTGGACTGGTGGCAAAAAACCCTGTATTTCTTCTTATGCTCGTTTAACTTGGTTCAAGTTGAGAAACCCACATTTCAAAATGTCACTATTTTGTGTCTTTTCCTTGATAAATCAGCAAGTAGACTCATAGCACCATTTATGTTGGGTCAGGATTTATTAAGAGTGTGGACACAAAATCACTGCAAAAGATAGGGTTTAATCCTTCACATGCTCCTCATCCTCTAGGTGGACCATCTGCTTCTCTGTCTTTAACAGCTTCATTCCTAAAGAGAAGGAAACACGGGTTGTCAGCTTCAAAAAAGAAACCAGTTGACTGTGGTGCTTGAGTGGAGGCTTCCAGTTTTGCAGGGAATTCAAAAAAGATACAACATAAAAGCTACAAGTTTATACAACTTGAGTTTTATTTTGTTAGATCGGCATAATAACACCAAGTCACAAAGTAAATAGCTGGCATCTGGGAATGTGGCTTCATCAGTAAAAAGAGGTATGACAGGTCAAACAGTCAGACCGGTTCGGTATCAATGGCTGATTCCATTGATAGCTACAGGGGCTGACACAGGTCAAAAGATGTGGTCATCAGTAGGGAGTAGCCATTCAAGAAATTTCTTTAGATAAATATATTAAGAAATTATATTTACTTAATTATTCAGTAAAATTATATGTTATTGCGACTTGGCCTCTTACAAATAATATGGAAAATGTAAGCCAAGAGTGTGTAACATTGTCACTGTTTCTGCACCACAGTCAATTATAAAGTTGTTTTTTATTGAATTATAAAATGATTAAAGAAACCACATAATAGATAAAATTTACAAAGGCATTTTACAACATTGACAAGGGAAATATGTTACTTCTCTTGGTGATTATGGACCCTTGCCAATACTGCCTGCCAGCAATAATATATGGCCCGGTCAGATTATGGTGCTTTGATAGTGGCAAAAAATTTAAATAAATAAATACTTTGATAGAGGTGTTGAAATAGATCTCAGTCAAAACAGCAACAGTTATATAATCACTATGAGAGCCTCAGGTGTTGAGTCAGGTGTGGATGACATTACATACCGACGTCGAGTTGGCAAAGGGCGGAATGTAAACAGCAACAGCGGTGGCATGTGAAATTTCCTGTGGCAGATAATATGGCCGGAGTCTCACAGGAAGCAGTTCAATGTCTGGGCTACAGATAAATTTTTTTAACAGTGATTAACCGGGTTTACACCATCTGTTGTTAATTAGAAGTCCCCCGCCTTTACGCTTACCACTCCCAGTACAATCCCTGTCAGCCCGAAAGGTCTGAAAGCCATCGTTATGGTCAGGAATATCCGGGTGTAGCCAAGTCTCTGGCCTATCAGGTGCGCGGTTTGCCTTCACCTGTGGCTGTGAGGGCTCATTCTACCAGAGGCAAGGCGGCCTCTCGAGCCCTCCTTTCCGGGGCCTCTTGCAGGATGTTGTTTAGCGGCTGGGTGGGCCACTCCGCACACATTCATTCGGTTTTACAGTCTTGACCTTCCTTCGGCACCTGGCACTCGTGCGCTCTCCTCTTAGTCGTGCCACTTTATTGCACACAGGGGCAGGCGGGGTTTTCGGCACGGTTTAGTGGGTATCTCGTTCCCATAGTGTCGTAACCGACGCAGTGTCTCGTTCCCCTTCTCGGAGAACCAGGGTTACATACGTAACCCGAGACGTTTGCTGCATGCATGGACACAGAACTGTGGTATAGGGAGAAGCACACGGTCAGCTAGCTGCAGCTAAATCTGGTTCAATTCTGTATGGTAAATTCAGTTTTAACGGAGCAAAGCGAGCTGACAGGCAGAGTTGTCTGTTTCTCTATTTACAAAGACGCATGTTGCAGTCAGAGTCTTCTCTAAGATGCGATGCGAGCACGACATACAACACAATTTATCAAATTACACAACGGATATACAGTATGAAAATAAGATTGATTGGATTATACTCACAGGAAGTATAAAACCTCTTACATGCGTCTATTAAAAGTAAAGTAACACAAAAATGTCAGGGAAATTACTTTACTTAGATTTAAGTACTGCAGTTGTACATTTGAAATACCTTCCTACCTTTCTGATAGGAAGCCTTCTTGAGGTGGTATAAAACATTTCTTCTTATATTCTGATTTGAGTTGTGGACAACTATGACCACAAGAATTAAAAAAATTAAACATTTCACCACCCAAGTCAGCTATAACACAAGTCTTGTTCATCAGACTACATGCTGTACAGTATTTGACTACAGATTTTGTCCCAGGATTTCTTATGCATTTCTTCTTCTTCGTTGCATGATTTAGAATAAAAAGGTGAGAAATGAGTCTGTTCTGAGTTCATCCTGCAGCTAATAAAGTCCATTTAATCCCCCAAACGCTTTTCTTTTAGGCAGGCTGGAGCAGAAAACAACTCACCTTTCTCAAGTTGTACAGTAATGTCACATGTGTATGAAGGTGGATGAAACAAGCTAATCTTAAATGTCAAAGTAGAGAGGAGCCTAGTAGGCCTATTTATTTTCATTCATTACACAATATGAATAAGCTATGCAAGACAGTTGTAAGGAAAGAACATCTTTTTCTTCTGTTCTCTACTTGTTATAGTTACACAGTATTAGGGGTGTGGGCTGTATTAAAAGTATCCACTGTTCTCCCATACTCTAACACACAGTAACGATGAAATGTGTGCTGTTCTCACATTCTTCCTCTGTATGTACACATAAACAACAAGGCAGGGAAATATAAAAGGAATTTATTTTATAGTTTGGGTACATTATTGTTCAGTGTACATGCTCACATCTGAACCAAACTTTACGTGCTTGATAACTCTCCCACCCCGCAGACATCTACACGCCAATACCGATTTATATTCATAGCGGCAAGTGCTATGTAGCTCCACATAGGAGACACAGGAAGTGACATATAGCACCTTCATGCGGCGTCGGAACCGCGTAGGAAATTCACAGCCGCACCGGCAGAGCTCGAGAATATGCAACTCGGCCAGCTCAAGCGCGGACGCGCTACAAGTGCGAGGGCCCGCCCAACGCTGCTTGCAGCTTTAATTATTATTGTGTTGTGTAATCAGCACAAACATTTTTCCTAGAGGCCACTTGAATCAGTTGCGGTCTCCTGCATCAGGATTACATGATATATGTTAATATTACAGATCTTAATGTGATGTCCTTACTCTCTGGAGGAAGCCCACTATGTCCAGCTTGTCTGCCTTAGTGGGAAAACAGCCCATGCCCTCACAGATGCTCTCTGATCCAAGAAGTGACTGTGACTGGGAGTGTACATTCATGGTGCTCCAGGAGGAGGCCTGGCCATGCTGCACATCAGCCGGAGGGCTCCAGGGCAGCAAGCAGCACTGAGTGGCTACTGTCCTGCTGGGGGTGGGACTCGTTCCAGGAAGAAAGACTCTGAGCTGAGAGCAGAGCAGAGACTGCTCGTCCAACAGTCTGTGCATCTTCTGCTCAAGCACATAGAATTATAATCAGCAAAGAAATCCTCCGATAACAAGATACTACTTTACTTATACAGGAACAAAAAACTGAAAATAGATTCAGTATAATTTTAAAAGAAAACATTTTTGAAAAGAAGGAACGCTTCATCAACAAATACTTAATACAAATGCGAAAGGTGGTGTGTCCTGGAGCTGGTTGCACCAACAGGGCTCACGCCTAGTCTTAAGGTAAGTAGGTCTTAACTCAGCATTCTAAGTCCGACCTAATAGTTAACATAGTTGCACCATCCAGGCTTAAGTCCTCTTCTCGCGTAAATGTTACGCCTAGTCAGTAGCAGGCGTAAAGTCAAAATCTAGGCAAGTTTCTATAGTGACCACTTGATAACTCAGCAGTAAAGACATGGCGCGCCTTATACACAGACTTTACAATGAGCGGGCTTTTAGACGGGAGAGTTAATAGGGACAGAAGCAATCCATTGGACATTTACAATGAAGAGGAGCTGATTCAGAGGTTTCGATTCTGTCGGAGAGATATATATGAACTTGTTGAAGAGCTGTCATCCGACTTACAGTTGGTGTCGGATCACAACGCAGCATTGACACCCGCATTACAGCTGTTAATAGCGCTACGTTTTTATGCTAATGGTGCTTTTCAAAACACTGTTGGAGACATGATTAATGTCCACAAATCTACCGCATGTCGGTCGCCTTCCGCGAGCTGCTCACCTCCCCACTGAGGCCGAGTCTGCTGTGATGAAACACCGATTTCTCCGGGCTTCTGGCATTCCTCGTATTGAGGGCTGCATCGATGGAACTCACGATCCAGGCACCATCTGAGCATGAGTATCTGTATGTCAACCGCAAGGGATACCATTCAATCAATGTGCAGATTGCTTGTGACGCCAATTATAAAATCTTTAATTTGGTGGCAAGATGGCCTGGATCTACCCATGATGCACGCATCCTCCGAGAGAGTGCGTTATACCAGAATTTCGAGGCTGGAAGAGTAAATGGGCTGCTTCTCGGCGACAGTGGATACCCACTGAAACACTGGCTGATGACGCCTATAATTGCTCCGAGGACTGAGCAAGAACTACGGTATGACACCATCCACACCACCACTAGGTCCCTCGTTGAGCATTGCATCGGTGTCTTCAAGCACAGGTAAAATTCTTTCCGCAGTGTCTGTGCTGCTATCCATGGTGCTGATATAGTGTGGTCACTAGATCACTGAAAACTACATATACTAGGCCTAGGCTATATAAAACTCGCCAAAAGTGACACATTTGCAGATGGCCGTCCACCCTGAGCCATGGTTCTGCTCGAGGATTCTGTTTTTCCTTGCCTCTGTCGCCTAGTGCTTGCTCTTGGTGGGAACTGTTGGGCTTCTGTAAATAGCATCATAGAGTATGGTCTAGACCTGCTCTTTTATGAAAAGCGCTGTGAGATAACTGTTGTTGTGATTTGGCGCTATATAAATAAAATTGAATTGAATTGAACATTTACGTTTTACAGTAGCCTAATCATTAATTATTTTTTCTAGGTTTCATTGTCTTCATGGAGAGATGCGGATGCACCCTGAGCGAGTCTGCACCGTAATAGCATCGTGCACTGTCCTCCACAACATCTGTGTCACCAAGAGGATCCCTCTCCCTAGGCAACACCATCAGCCGGTGCCGGAGGAAGGTGCCGACCCTGTGGACCATGCAGGGCATGAAGATGTCGGTGGACGACTAGTCCGTACACGCATCATTAATTCTTTATAAATGTTAAAAACTATAGCGTCACTAAAAATAATTCTGCTAATTATCTCCAGGTTGTAAACCATAAAAAATAAGCCACAAAGAAAGTCCAGTAGGCTTATTTACAGAATTACAAAAGACCGCCCATCCTCTTCAGAAATAGGCAAAGATGACCTGCTTATCTGTTGTTGGACCAACTGTATTTCTAACGATATTTTTTGTTTTTCAAGTTCCAGCTTTTCTTGCTCTTCCTATAATTTCTTTGTTTCAGCTTCCACTCTAACAATTTCTTTCTCAAGAAGTGTCTGCTGCAGATCATCCAGCCTCCTCCTCCGTTTCACCGGCGGTGCACCGCTGCTGTCTTCTTGAGAATTTTGTGGAGTGACTTGGGCCTCCATCGAGTCTGAAAATACAGAGAATCTGTCATAGGCCTACTGTTATCTGACAACTACTAAAACTGTTATTGTAGGCTACTCCAATATATAGGCTGCACACCTTCACAATTCACACTCTCGCTTGAGTGGTCGACATCCATCTCTGGAGAGACAGCAGTTTCTTCCAGATCGGTACCGCCACTTTCCGCACCAAAGATATCCACAATTATGGTACTGTAAACGGAAGTTTTTGGGGGAGGACTCCTGCCGGTCGGGTGGTGTTTTTTTGAAGACAAATCTCTTTTTGCTATCTCAGGTGGTCTTTCCACTTCTTCCTCACATCGCTCTCTGTCCGAAGGCAGCCGGAGTCAGAGCAATCGTTAATCGCCTCCGTTTCCATGTTGTTTTTTTCAGTCAGTGTGTGTCTGTGCTGACTTTACAGCTCAATTAACTTTCGTATCTCAATGTCGGTGAAATTTCCTTTCCTTTTTCTTGATCCTCCATTGAGACAGCTACAAGTTAACAAAACAGCGGAAGATAGTTTACAGCATAACCCAGCAACGCATGCCCCTAGGCAACCACTATAGTTCTGTGGCCATTCACATGAACGCGCATCGCTAAGACCAGGCGTAGTTAAGCCTAGGCTAAGTTTGGTTGGTGCAACCGACATTAGGTCAACTCTAAAGACTGGTCTTAACTAAGACCTACTAAGAAATTAGGACCAGGCTTAGTAAAACCCTGTTGGTGCAACCGGCTCCTTGTGTTCCTCTCCTCTCTGCCTGTGCTCCCTGTCAAATAAACACAAAGTGGCATAACAAATGCAGTGAGTGCAGTGCTGTTCTATAATATAGAATGTAAATGCTCTGTACTTGTATAGCGCCTTTCTAGTCTTTTCGACCACTCAAAGCGCTTTTACACTACATCTGCATTCACCAGTCATACACATTCATACACTGAGCCTAAGTGCTCAAACGGAAACTAACATTCACACACATTCATACGCTGGCGGAATAGCCGCCAGGGGCAATTCGGGGTTCAGTATCTTGCCCAAGGACACTTCGACACGCAACCAGGGGTAGCCAGGGATTGAACCGCCGACCTTCCGATTATCGGCCAACCCGCTCTATCCCCTGAGCCACAGCCATATAGTGACTTAAATCTAAAACTCTCCATCCAGCTGGCAGTGTAGAGCCAGTATTTTAGTACATTTTACATGTTACAACATCATCAGGGCATTTTCTATATGGACTACTCTACCAGCAGAGTGTGTTACCATTTTCAAGCTGTCGTCATAGTGATGGGCCAGTTCATTCAGCTGCATCTCCAGCTCTCCAGCCTCCTGTTTTACTTTTTGCCTCAGCTCCATTATGTCCCGAACCTTCTCCCTACGCGCACACACACACACACACACACACACACACTTATTGTCTGCCTTGATTTTAGTACGTGTATTGCATCATCCTGTACTGCTGTGATGACAGCAGATCTAGAATATTTGGTTCACACTGGCTCTTGATCAAGTTCACTTTATAAACACGACCTTTAAAAATTGCATTACAGATTGCATCATTTCTTTTGCACACATACATGTTGTTGTCATTTTTGTTTTGACTTTTAGAAAATCCACTGTACATTACATTGGTAGATCTTACAGATACTCTTTCTTTTTGTGTGTTGAGTGAGTGAACACTGTCATAGCTGTTGGAACCTAAGGAGTTTACCTTCAAGTGCTTTTCTGTTAAACAAGGAGCTTTGTCTGTTTTCTGAGGACAGAGATGCAGTGTAGCATCCTCCTGCTCTATTATCTGTGACAGAGGCTCCATGTACATGTCAGGTTCAAACAGCTCCATAAACTGAAGCTCCCCGTTGTCCCAGTGCAAACTAAAGCACCTACTATGGCTCTTTAAAGTACAGGTGTCACAACGTTGAAACCTTGCAGCCTGTACATGTCAGCAAAGCTTTGTAAAGTAGTGCAGTGTGTACCTGTCCTGGTCAGACAGAGATGTGTAAACTGCAGCTTGGTCTTCAGACAGCTGCTCCTCCATATTGCTGAGCACAGAGCGAAACTGCTGCAGACAAAGCATCATCTCCTCCAGCTCATCCAGAGAGTACTGTGGGGAACAGCCACACATTCAGATTTTCAAACATGAAAACTCAAGAATAATAATAGAAGCTTTTGAGGTTCCAGAAATACAAAAGGTCATAATGGTGATCAACACAGAAGCACATACAAGCCATACACAGCACTGACATGAGTATGGTATTAATGCTAAAAAAAACTAAATCACACACCACCGGGCTGCATTATTAGACACTAAAGCAGAAGTACATACATAAACCACATACAGTAGATTGATTGATAACAGATAAAACTAGCATGGTGCACAACATTTTGTTCCCTGTTCTGGTCCAATATCCACTGAACAGCTTCATTATTTTTAACAATTGCTAAGTCACATTATCAACTTTTTCAGAACTCAAAACACAAACATTCATTAAGTGACCACATCTCACAAATTCATTAAACTGTTTTCTCCCATAAACTCAACTACCACCAGGCCTCTGTGTATTTGTCATGGTATTCCATAAACCACTAACTTTAAAGGAGGGATTTTGTCAGATTCAGAGAATATCTCCTCATGGTCCGCTAGCTGTCCGTTCTGTCTACCGGTGTGCCGGTGTTTGTCCTCAGCCCTGGTTCTGTCAATGGGAAACTAACAAAGTTGCGGACCCACAACACTATTCCAGCCGTACCTGCCATGATGTGTGTGTCAGTAATGTTAAATGACTTGCCCACGGACATTCAGCTTACTTTCTAGTTCACCGTGACATGTTGTTGTTGTGATGTTAGCTATAGCAGCAGAAGAGCTGTGAGTAATGTCCTCTCTGTTAGCTTCATCTCAAGGGGAATATTCCACTTGCCAATAACAAAAGGAGGTAGGTAGGAATTTCTACTATTTTTTAATTAATATTCAGTGACATGTTAGAGCAATCTTAGATCAGTCCCGCACGATCCTCAACCTTACGGTGAAACTAGTAAATTTTATTACATTAACAACTTTGAGCATTAAATACTTACTTTGCTGCATTATGGAAACATTTTCTGCACCAATTTATGGTGGAAATGTCTTTATTTATATGAAGGGGAACAAAATTAAGGTGGCAGGTAAAATATAATGGAATCTAATGCAGTAATCAGCTTTTGGACAATGCACATTTGTTTCTTCTATAGTTCAATTGCATTGCATGTGTACTTATTGTCCATTATTCCATTTGTTATTCAACATTTATTGTTGCTGTTCAGAACATTTTTAACAAAAGCTTTCAAAAAGTGATGGAGACATTCTGACCTGTCTCCGGCGTCCCTAATGAAAATGACACCTATCTGTCAATATTTTTAAATGTCCCGCCCCATTCAGGCTGTGATTGGTCATTTCACGACAAGTGACATTGACGAGCTACATTCAGCACACAGCTGCTTTAAAGGCACCCGAGCTTCTCTTCTCCCTCGTCTCTTTCGCCAACAGAGTTTAGAAGGCAGGCAAGAACAGAAGCAGGTGAGCATCACGTAGCACCCAGAGAACCGGATATGGAGAGAGCAGAGGAGAGTACCAGCAGCTTGGGAGAAGTTTCGGTCCCGGTACTCCAAAGAGTAAAATGTTGAGGTGCCGGTACTGTGTACTGGAGTGTACCGCCCCACTTCAAGCACTGGATTAGACATATTTTAACATTATTATTATGGTCATCCCTCATCAGTGTGAAGTGATGCAGTTCCTCATTCCATCATTACAGTCCATCATTGCAGGTATGATTGTAATAATCTAACCGATTTACAATGATTTAAATAAAAAAGTTTTATCTGGACTGTATACATGTTGTGTGTATTTGGAAGTGAAGAAGACAGCAGTCAGTCCCTTTCACATGGTGTATCATTGCAATGAAATTCAGTAAGAGAGTTCCTAAAAGAACAGCTTCAGCAGTGCTCTTCTAGTGATGTTTGACCCGTACTGGTTCAGCTGAACAGATCAGTATCACTTTAATGAGTTACGTTAGCAGGGGAAAAACTGCTAGTCTTTGTGCTAAACCAAGCATACTTCACTGTACTGGACGCACAGAGATTAAGTTGATATAATTTTCTCATCTGGGGAAGACAGCAATCAAAGGATTTTGTAAATATCAGTCACTTCCTTTAAGGGACTTAAAGGCAGAAGCGTTGGCAACAAAATATCATGCCTCTGAGTGGCACTCCATTCAAGATCCTGTCCATTGATACTGAACCAGACTGAGCAGCAACAGTCACTTCCATCACATTCTCCTTAATTCCAACAGACCTGAGGAACAAAAACCTGCCTCTGTCAGCAGAGAAGAATACACAGTGGCATTTGAGTTCCTAAATGTGATGATTTTCCAGCATAGAGAAAAATGTGAGATAAAAGGCTTTAGCACCTCTGAAAACCATAAAGTAAAGGTGCTGCAGTGCCAAAACATAGCAAGTGTAATCATCCTCCTTTAACTTCTGCAAACATAGCAGCATTCTTAAATTCTAATGTGACTTTAATTATTCAGGCAGCACCACTGCCTGTATAAAACTTTTATGTGGGACTGGTCTCTTCCAAAGACCAAGTCAGGATTTTATGTGTTTAATGGTATTCCATATTTTACTCAGGTAACATCAGTGCCTACCACTTTCCAAAGCATAAAACCACATGTATGTGCAATCCGTAAAAAAAAAACACTGCCGGTTTTGGTTTTTCCGTTTTAAAATCAAAACGGAAAAACAGTGCAACTACGTTTAGTTCTATATACCGATAACCGGTGTTGTATCTCTATGGAACTCCCAAAGTGTCAGAACTTAATGAAAGAATAAATAAATAAATGGGGAAATATATGCAAGAATGAATGAATAAAATAATAAATGAATGAATGGGGAAATATATGCAAGAAAGAATGAATGAATGACAGAATAAATAAATAAATGTGGAAATATAAGAAAGAAAGAATAAATTAATTAAAGAATAAATATATACATTTGCTTTTGCCTTTTCCTTACGAAAACCTATTGTCATTGCTTTTCCTTTGCAAACCCAACCTATCAATCAATGTGTTTTGGCCAGCCCACTAAGTCCAACTAATCGCTCATAGAAGTGTTCGTTTCAAGGCAGCCTCACTCTGCTAATTGCAGTCACGGAACTTGGCATCGTCACCTTGTTGTGCCTTATGGAGATTCTGCATGCAAATACCAGACAAATGATGTTTTACTATGCGGTTATTTTACAGACATTCCCAGAAGCATGTGCTTCAGCTGGTAAGTGAAATCCTAGCATTTTATTAATGTGTTGTTAGCAATAATTAGCAGGTATCGGTACATTACATTAGGTCGTTTGCTTAGCCATTTAACTAGCTAATTAACCAGCTTCAAACGAGACAACGATGCTCAAAAAACAATAGTGTAACTTAATACATGGTTAACACAGTTTTTGAAGAGTCCTTGACAGGAATCAAAAGGTATTAGTTTTTGCACTTAATGTGATAAAACTTTGGAACAAAAGTAATCGGAGAGTTGATGGTGCGCCGCATTTAGGTAACTGTTAGGTAGGTAGATTTATTTTGTCACAGTATCACAGGTTATATAGTAAAATTGAGTTTGTAACTCACTTCTGCTAAGTAGCAGACAATAAAACATTTAAAAGCAATTACAAAAATGGTAAACAGAAATAAACTATACTATTCAGTGTAGCAGTGCTGAGGATGAATTTGAGCTCAAGAGTCTGATCACTACTGTGGTGTCCGAACAATAATGCTGCGATGATGTGTCAAGAAGAAATCCGCTTGACACTGTTCTTGATCATAAAAGTTTATTACATCAAGGAATTCAGCATCAATTACAAGCTCTGCAGCAGCTTGGAGAGTGACCCAGCCCGATAACCACTCTGTCTCTCTGTACATCGAACACAGCTTATATAGGACATGTTTAGGTCTCTGCTAAATACCATATAAGGGCAAAGTCCCTTCATAGACACTAATCTCTAATTCCCCTAACACTGCACCCATCAATCATTACTTCCCCTAACACTGGGTCCACTGTGCCTCTCTCCAGCTCTGGGTCAGGGGTCAAGTTCTTATAGGAGGGTTCACTCTTGGTACACCCATCAATCATTACTTCCCCATAAGGGTTCACTGTCCCTCTCACCAGCTGCAGAGCATTATGTTAAACTGTAATGGCCAAATGCACATATGTTATACACCACACTACATTTTCCATTCATACCTTCACCAGTCTGTAATCTGCATTAGGCTTCATTAACCAAAATGAGCTGTCATTCAGGCTGTGTGTATGCAGTTACGCAGATCAGCCCTAGTGTCGGCGCTTGTTACAGCACAGAGCTGGGCGGATGCAAACATTTAAAAATTCAGGCAAATACCTTTTCAAGGTCAAAGTTTATGTATTTTTTTTTTCAGGTTAAGGCTTTATTGTTCTGCTCACTGGATTACAGTTGGTAATCCAGTGAGCACACACCATGGCACTGGTGGCCTGCTGGAAAGCAGCCTACATCGCTCTTTCACAAGCTGGCAAATTAAATACTATCACTATCCATGAACGGCGCATTTAAAGCATTTAGTCTCTGCAGAGAAAATGAAGACTACACACTGTAACGTCAGTAAGTCAGATGATCACTGGATGGATTCTAATATATTAACAGTATCCTTTTGATGAAAAGAGCATAGCTTTCTTTTGATGGCCATTAGCCTGTTTCTTTCACATCGGTTAGCCTACTATTTGTTTTATAGCGATGTCCGACAGTGAGTCCATAAACAGAATGTCGCCGGTGAAACTAATCTTGGCTTTCACTCAGCAGTTGCCAGCTGTTCAGCAAACAAAAATTTCTGAGATGCACAGAGAGAGAGAAAATACGGGTAGATAAAACAGTCCTGTTGGGCTTTACAAATTGGCCTTCCTCTGTATGAAGGCTTACCCTGCTTCAACAACGAGCTGCTCCCTTGTTACTGCCACAACAATTGTTTGCGTTGTGAACATTATGTTCATAGATGCTTTAGGAATAATTAGATTTTATTGGCTGCCTGCAAATAGTGGCTGGGCAGCAAGCATGAT